GAGGCCAATAACAGAACACCAATCAGGTACACTTAGTTACAGAAAGTGATATCAGGGTAATTAGATAAGGAATATTTACTGAATGTAGCCTTGAAGCAAATGAACTCGTAAACAATTCTATCTGATGTCAGATCACTGTATTATTAATAAAACAACCACACCCTCACCAAGCGCTCCAAACTGCTATGTTTCAATCAAGCTCATAAACAGACACGAGAAAATGCACAGCCAGAGAAAGTTCACAGTCTGCAATGTTCCTGATTCAAGTCCACTCTATGTTGTTTGCTAATCTTCAATCCAGCAACAGAACTGCTATGATTAACTTCATAGTTGTTGCACTAGAGAGAAGGCAAACTGGATTTTCAGTTCTGATCATTTTCAAACAGGTTCATAGTTTTTTTAGTTAGGCTAATGTATCAAGGCATAAGAAGCAAAGGTGAGAAAAATGAGTCGAGAAACAGATCAACTATGAATTAACAGGATGACAAAACAGATTTGAGGAATTGAGAGGCCTCCGTCTGTTCTTATGTTTTCAGTCTCTATTGGAAAATGCCTATGCATAAATATTTTATCAGAAAGCATTAACTGACCTCAAATATATGGAGAAATTTATCTTATCCCAATGAGAACATAGCTTTTAAAATGCAACAGTGCAGGTGAAGCAATCTATGTAAGACAATAGGTGACCACTAGGTATTTCATTGTCTGCAGAACTCTGGAACACATCAAAAAAAAGTCATTTATCAGTAATTGTACAATGCACAACCTCAGGATGTACCAAAGTACTTCACCATTGTAATGTAGGAAACAAAGCATCCAAACAGCAGTGTGATAAAGACTGGATAATTTGATTTGAGGTTAAAACCTATGTAGTTCACTGATGCCCTTTAGAAAGGAAACCTACCGCTTTCACCCAGTCTGACCTACGGTAGTTCCAGACCCACATCATTATGATTGACTCTTAACTACTCTCAAGGGTGTTTTTTTTATTTATTCACTCATGGAATGTGGGCTTCTGTGGCTAGGCCAGCATTTATTGCCTATCCCTAATTGCCTAAAGAGCAGTTAAACATTAACCAAATTGCTGTGGGTGTGGAGTCACATGTAGGGCAGATCAAGTAAGGATGACAGATTTTCTTCCCTAAAGGATATTAGTGAATCAGATGGGTTTTTCCAACAATCAGCCATGTTTTTTTGGTCATTAGTAGACCCTTATTCCATATTCATTATTGAATTCAAATTCCACCATCTCCCACGGCAGGATATGAACCAAGGGTCCCCAGAACATTAGCTAAATTTATGGATTAATAGTCCAGCAATACCACCCCAAAGGTGAGGCATGAACAACAAATGCTGCTTTGCTAATATAACAAGGTGTGGAGCTGGATGAACACGGCAGGCTAGGCAGCATCAGAGGAGCAGGAAAGCGAACATTTCGGGTCTGGACCCTTCTTCAGAAATGGGGGAGGGGAAGGGGGCTCTGAAATAAATAGAGAGAGGGGGAGGCAATGATAGAAGGTGGATAGTGGAGCAGATAGGTAGAGAAGACAGACAGGTCAAGGAGGCGGGGATGAAGCCAGCACAGGTGAGTGTAGGTAGGGAATTGGGATGAGGGTTGGTCAGTGAGGAGGGAGGGGCAGATAAGTGGGAGGGAAGACGGACAGGTCAAGGAGGTGGGGACGAGGGAGGGGCTGGTCTTGGGATGAGGTTGGGGGTGGGGAGATTTTGAAGCTTGTAAAGTGCACATCGAGACCATTGGGCTGCAGGGTTTCCAGGCGGAATATCAGGTGGTGTTCCTCCAGCCTTCGGGTAGCATCATTATGGCACTGGAGGAGGCCCAGGATGGACATGTTGTCCAAGGAGTGGGAGAGGCAGTTGAAGTGGTTCGCGACTGAGAGGTGTTGTCATTTGTCACGAACCGAGTATAGGTGCTCCACAAAGCGGTCTCCAAGCCTCTGCTTGGTTCCCCTGATGTAGAGGAGGCCACATCGGGAACAGCGGATACAATATACCACATTAACAGATGTGCAGGAGAACTTCTGTTTAATATGGAAGGTTTTCTTGGGGCCTGGGATGGAGGTGAGGGGGGAGGTGTAGGGGCAGGTATAGCACCTCCTGCGGTTGCAGTTAAAAGTGCCGGGGGTGGTGGGGCTAGTGGAGAGTGTGGAGCGGATGAGGGAGTCGCGGAGAGAGCGGTCCCTCCGGAAGGCAGATAAGGGTGGGGAGGGAAATATATCCTTGGTAGTGGGGTCAGATTGCAGGTGGCGGAAGTGACGGAGAATGATGCGTTGAATCCGGAGGTTGATAGGGTGATACGTGAGGACAAGGGGAATTCTGTCTTTGTTGTTATTGTGGGGATGGGGTGTGAGGGCTGAGGTGCAGGAAATGCAAGAGATGTGGTCGAGGGCATTTTCGACCAATGTGGAGGGGAAATTGCGGTCCTTGAAAAATGAGGACATCTGGGATGTGCAGGAGTGGAACACCTCATCTTGGGAGCAGATGCGGCGGAGTTGAAGGAATTGGGAATAGGGGATAGCATTCTTGCAGGAAGGTGGGTGAGGGGAGGTATATTCTAGGTGGCTGTGGGAGTCGGTGGGCTTGAAATAGATACCAGTTTCCACGTGGTTACCAGAGATGGAAACAGAGAGGTCCAGGAAGGAGAGAGAGGTATCAGAGATGGTCCAGGTGAACTTAAGCTTGGCGTGGAAGGTGGTAGTAAAGTGGATGAACTGTTCGAGTTCCTCGTGGAAGCACGAGGCGGCGCTGATACAGTCATCAATGTAATGGAGGAAGAGGTGGGGGATGGTGCCAGTGTAGCTGCGGAAGAGGGACTGTTCCATGTATCCTACAAAGAGGCAGGCATAGCTTGGGCCCATGCGGGTACCCATGGCCACCCCTTTCGTCTGCAGTAAGTGGAAGGAGTTGAAGGAGAAGTTGTTAAGTGTAAGGAGAGTTCAGTTAGGCGGATAAGGATGTCGGTGGAGGGGGACTGGTCGGGCCTGTGGGAAAGGAAGAAGCGGAGGGCTTTTAGGCCATCTGCATGGGGAATGCAAGTATATAGGGAATGGACGTCCATGGTGAAGATGAGGTGTTGAGGGCCAGGGAATCGGAAGTTTTGGAGGAGGTAGAGGGTGCGGGTGGTGTCACGGATGTAGGTGGGGAGTTCCTGGACCAGGGGAGAGAAAATGGAGTTGAGATAAGTGGAGATAAGTTCGGTGGGGCAGGAGCAGGCAGATACAATGGGTTGACCTGGGCAGTCGTGTTTATGGATTTTGGGAAGGAGATAGAAACGGACGGTGTGGGGTTGGGGAACGATGAGGTTGGAGGCTGTGGGTGGGAGGTCACCTGAGGTGATGAGGTTATGGATGGTCTGGGAGATGATGTTTTGGTGGTCAGGGGTGGAGTCATGATGAAGGGGGCAGTAGGAGGAGGTGTCAGAGAGTTGGCGCCTGGTCTCGGCGAAGTAGAGGTCAGTGCGCCATACCACAATTGTGCCTCCCTTGTCCGAGGGTTTTACAGTGAGGTTAGGGTTGGAGCGGAGGGCTGCACATTCTGTGGGGGAGAGGTTGAGGCGATTGATGTCACGACAGCAGTTGGAAATGAAGAGGTCGCGGGAGGGTAGGAGGCCTTGAGGTGGTGTCCAGGAGGATGGGGTGCATTGGAGGCCTTGCAAATGATGTCTACACCCTATCCATGAAACAGAAATCATAACTGCTCCCATTCTCTGGATAAATTAATTTATCCAGAACTCCCAAGGAGTTATTAGTGATTACATTTATATCCCCTAATTCTGGCCTCATCTGCAAGTGCAGTATTCCACCTTTCCATAATCTTAAAAGTCATTCTTCAGTCAAAGATCCCCAATCTTTCCTCACACAAGTGAGAGTTACTTACTTACTGCAGAAATAATTACTGTAGAACTCCCAGCCTCTGACCTGCTCTGGTTCCTGACCTAAGCCTTCCACAAGCTTCTATATCCTTTTCCCAGCTACTCCCCATTAAAGACAATATAAAATGGGGGATACAGTTCTGAAGGGGATGCAGGAGCCGAGTGGCCTGAGTCTATATGTTAAGAAAGCATACTGTGATCTTGTCATTATTAATAAATACATAAAGTACAAGAGCAGGGAGATGATGTTGCAATTAGACAAGAGACTTGTTAGACCTCAGCCGGAATATTGTGTACAATTGTGGATACAACATTATAGGAAAGATGTGAATGTATTGGAGACAGCGCAGAAGCAATTTACAGGAATGGTTCCAGGAATGATAAGCTTGTGTTGAGAGGATAGATTTAGGTTAAGACTGTTCTCCCTGAAGAAGACTGAGGGGACATTTGATAGAGGCTTTCAAAATCATGAACGGGTTGAATGTAGTAGATAGAAAGAAGTTGTTCCTTCTTATAAAAGAAAGCAATAATAAGAGGTCATAAATTTAAAGTGATGTGCAAAAGAAGCAAGGGGTTTGGGTGGAAAAAAAACTTAGCCAGTAGTTAAGATATGGGATGTACTGCCAAGAAATATGGTTGAGGCATTGAATAATTATTTAGATACAAATAATATGCAGTGACACATGCAGGAGACCTGCCCTAGGGAATAAAATCGATTCAGACACCATGAATTCCTGTGCTGTTACACTTCTGTGAAGAGGTTTTTCCTATGGTCTGGGACATTTTAACTAACCTCTAGCCAGTTTCCAGCCACACAATCGAGTACGGTGCTTTTATCTAACCTGTTCAGAGATGTTATTACACACCTCCAGGGCAGATAGAACTTGAGCATAGGTCGCCTAACTCAGAGGTAATGAGATTTCCCCTGCACCACAAGGGTCTGCGCCACTGAGGCTTTTGTTGAGGTACGGGTTGCTAGGGCCCGATTCCCGAATGTTCCAGTTTCCATGGTGACCGCGCCCCCTATATCACACACACTTTCAATCTATTGGTTTGACGTCACGCGTAATGATCCGACACGCCTGATGATTGGCTGAAAGACATGTCCATCAACACTTGACCCCGGTGGCACGACTTCCGGGTGAGTGATTCGGGGCCTGCAGCGCGTGGTTGAGCCGCAGCCTGAGGGGAGCAGCACTGATTCCGAGAAACGATGGGGGACTCATCCGGCGAGGATCGCTTCGATGGCATTCTGCTGGCAATGGCCCAGCAACATGAAGGGGGTGTTCACCAGGTATGAAGGAGATACTGCCCTACCCCAGTGTGGGCAGATTCCCCACCCCCACCGTGGGTATATCCCACTTGCCGCCGCTACTCCGTTCCGCTTGATGGGGTTGGATTCTCTACCTCTTCACCCACGTTTCACCTGGGGGTGTATATTCCTCTTTCCGCACTCTCCACGTTTACCTAGTTGTGGGGAATAGATTTGCTTTCTTCCCCCACCCCCAACAGCCATCACTCTATGAGAAGGAGAGGAGTGAATCCTTAACATCCCCGCCAACCCATTTCATTCTTCTTTCTGCAGCCCCTTATATTCTGCTTGGGGTTGGATCCTCCACCCTACTCACTTTTCGGGAGGGTGGGGGCAAGCGGGAATGAAGGAGAGAAAGCGGATTCTGTACATATCCCCCATCATCTGGAGTATAACCCTCTTTCTGCACCACGGCCACCCTTATATTCTGTTTTGGGACGGGGGAAGGGGGTCAATCTTTTAAAACGCGTTAATTTTTCTGGTGGCGGAACCTCTAATTTCCTCCACCTTCATTCTGCCAGGAGGTAGATCTTCCCCAGTTCCCAGTGTCTGGGAACATCTGTCCAGTGGTAAAAATAAAGACAGACTTAAGACTTTTGGCATCTCAACCACTTTGCAGCGTACTTAATATTTAATTTAGGAAATGCAGTTGGTAAATTTCATGTATTAACTTCAACAAACAATAATAAATGATTGCCTACTCAATGTCCCTCTAGTTGAGGGATAAATATTGACCAGAACCACATGGGATGCTTCTGTGCTTTAATTCAAAATATCCATGCAATTCTTATGCCCCCCCAAGAGGTTTCTCTGTTAACAGAGAGATGGCACCTCTAACAATGTAGCATTCCCCACTGTGCTGCACTGGAAGCATCAGTCTGGGGTATGACTTAAGTCTTTGAAGTGACATTTCAACCCATGTCCTTCTGACATGCCTGATTCAATTCTCTGGTTGGTTTTGGTCAGTTTTTGCCATTGAGCCTGCCTGACTGTTGTATCCAAGCTGTTATGTGTTGTCTCTGCCTCCATCAGTAGGAGTATTCCCTTATTTATCTTAAGTTTGGCGTTGGTGTAACCACTGATGATGACAGTAAGCCTGCTATCGAGTGAAAGAGAGGTTTAATGGTGAAATGTCCAGTTCACCGTGATCATTGAGGGAAATGATAGAGTTTGGTGTATGTCATCTACTGCCTGTACCATGTTCTTCACCGAGCAGGACACCGTGATCTGCGCCACAAGCTGCACTCAAACATCAAACAGCTTAAAATTGATTTATTTCCATGCTGAATTGAGTGAATTATTTGTGTGTTGCTTTATTCATTCACTCATGGGATGTGGGTGATGCTGGCTGGGCTAGCATTTATTACCTATTTCTAGTTGCCTTTGAAGGTGGTGGTGAGCTGCCCACTTGAACCGCTGCAATCCATTTGGTGTAGGTCCACCCACAATGCCATTAGAGAGGGAATTCCAAGATTTTAACTCAGCAACACTGAAGGAACAGCAATATATTTCCAGGTAACGATGGTGAGTAGATTGGAGGGAAACTTGCAGGTAGTGGTGTTCATACGTATCTGCTGTCCCTGTCCTTGTCGAAGGTAGAAGTTTGGAAGATTGTGTCTGAGCAGGGTTGGTGCATTTCTGTATTGCTTCTCATCGATGGTACACACTGCTACTCCTGTGTCTCGCTGGTAGAGAGAGTAAATATTTGTGGATGTGGTGCCAGGCAAGCTGGCTGCTTTGTCCTTTTTGGTGTCTCATGTCTTGTTTGTTGTTGGAAGTATATTCATCTGAACAAATGAAGACAATTCCATCACACACCTGACTTGTGCCTTGTAGATAGTGGCCAGGTTTTGGGAAGTAAGGATGTGAGTTACTCTTTGTCTGATTCCTAACCTATTACCTGCTTTTGTAGCCACGGTATTTATATGGCTAATCCAGTTAATTTTCTGGTCAATGGTAACCCACAAGATGTTGATAATGGGGGTTTCGTTGATGGTTATGCCATTGAATGCCAGGGCTCTTGGTTAGATTCTCTTTTATTGTAGATGATAATTCCTTACACTTGTGTGACCTGGCTACTTGACAGTTGTCAGCCCAAACCTGGATGTTATTCAGGTCTTGCTGCCTTTGGATATGGACTACTTCAGATTCTGAAGAGTTGTCCATGGTACTCAAGATGAACAGGTTATTGCTATGCAAGTGCTGTTTGATAACACTATTGATTACCTTTTCTGTCACTTCACTGAAGATTAACAGTAGCACGGTAACTGGCCAGGTTGAAATTTGTTCAATTTGTTTTGTGTACAGGACATACCTGGGTGATTTTTCATATTTGGGTGAATGCCAATGTTGTAACTGTACATGATGCCATGAGGGTCTGGCGTCAATGCTGGGGACTCCAAGGGCAACTGCCTTCTGAATATATGTATTATACTGTGCCACCACCTCTGATAGGTCTGTCCTGCCAGTGGGACACAGATGGTGATGGTATTGTCTGGAGCATTGTTTATCAGGTATGACTCCACCATGTTGACTGTTAGGCTCTTGCTTGATAAATCTGTGAGACTGCACTCTGTTACCGTTACTAAGGGGCATTTGTAGTGTTAAGTCTGTTTGATGTTGTTTGTAGTGCCTTAGTTGATGCCAGGTGTCCAGTTTCATTCCTTTTTTTTTCCTTTCTGGAGGCTGATAAAGCTGGGTGGCTTGTGAGGCCATTTCTGAGAGCAGTTGAGAATCACACACATTGCTGTGGGTCTAGCGTTGCACATAAACCAGAACAGGTAATGTTGGCAGTTTCAGAAATTGCTGGAAAAGCTCAGCAGGTCTTGCAGCATCACTGAGGTTCCTCACTGAGGAAGGATCATCGGACCTGAAATGTTAACTCTGATTCTTCACAGATGCTGCCAGATCTGCTGAGCTTTCCCAACAATTTCTGTTTTTGTTTCTGATTTACAGCACCTGCAGTTCTTTTGCTCTTAAGATTGGCAGTTTGCTTCCCTAAAGCATATTAGTGAACCAGGTAGATTTTTACAAAAGATTGACAGGTTCATCATGAGACTTTGAGTTCAGATTTCATTGAATTCCAATTCTATCATCCGTCATGGTGGGATTCAGACTCGAATGTACATCAGGTAACCTTTGAAGTGTAGTGGGTCTAATTAAGAGCCTTAACCTTTTCTTTTCTTCCCCCCCCCCCAGCTTGTGGATACATTCTTCAGTTTTCTGAGGCGCAAAACTGACTTCTTTACTGGTGGAGAGCAGGGAGCAGCTAACAAAGTGAGTACACGGGAGTTTCATTATATCTCCAATTCTCTGAGGGTGGGGGGTTGCTCCTCATTTTCATTTCTCAATTCAATTTCCCAGTGGCAATGCCCAGGTCTCCTCAGTGTGTTAATGGTGTAATCCCACTTAACTGATAATTTTGATCATGTATTTTCCACAGTTGGTCACAGACACTTTCAAACGCCACCATAAATTAGCTATACAGGTTCAGATGGAGAAGGAGGTGAAAAAGGAAGCAGAGAGAAAAGAAAAATTGGAACGGGCAAAGCTTATAGAGGAGAAGGAGAAATCTGAACCAGAACTGAAGCAGCCAAAGATCAAGGAGCTGACTAATGAGGAGGCAGAGAAATTGCAGAAGGAGATTGACCAGGTGAGTACATCATCTAATGACCAATTGCAGCATTAGAATTGATGTATGGAATTAGGAGACAGGAGTAGGGATAATGGCATGCAGTTGTTGTTAAGATGTGAATAATGCACGGGGATCTTGATGCTTCAATGTAAACGAATAACTTTTGAAGTAATAGAAAGCTGTAAACCTAAATTGACTGATGATACCACGTTAGTTGGCACTGTTAATAATGCAGATAAGAGCAAAAAGGTGCAAAGAAAACACTGAGACTTAGTGATTGGGCAAAACTATGACAGATGGACTTCGATGTGGAAAACGTGTGATGTCCTTTACTTTGATCCTCAGGAAGATAGATAAGATTTTTTTTTTCTTAAATGGTGAGAAGCTATGAACTCCAGAGGAGTAGAAGATTTAATGGCTTCAAATATATAAATCACTGAAAAGGGTTATGTTATCTTAAGTTTACATAAAACCCTTGGTACATCCCATTTTTCATACTGCATTTTAAGTTCAGATGGAGAGAAATTATTTCCTCTGGATAGTGCAGAGCAAGAAAATAACTTTAAAATTAGATATAAAACAGAAAATACTTTGATCTGATAACTCTACTCCTCACTTTCACAGATGCCAACGTTTCAAGTTAATGTCTTGTTCTGATGAAAGGACATTGACCTGAAATGTTACTCCTTACCTCTCTCCACAGATGCCACCAATCCTCCTGAGTATTTACGTCACTTCACTTTTATTTCAGATTTCCAACATTCAACATATTTTATTTCTGCTTAAAAGTTAAACTCAGAACTGAGGTCAGGAGGCACTTCTCATCCAAAGCAGAATGGAAATTTTGCAGTCTCCCCTACAAAGTGCTGTTGAGGTTGGAGGTCATTTGAAAATTTAAAAACAGGGGTTGATAATTTCATTAAACAAAAGTTTTAAGAGAATGGAACATTGTTGCTAATAGCAGAGTAGCAAATCAGCCATGGTGTAGTTGAATGGTAGAACAGGCCAGGGGGGTTGAATGGCTTTCTCACTGCAATGTGATGTAGGTGCTTCAGATTTATAATTAACCATTATAATGTATTAGGTTTGTGAGGAAGAAACCCAGGTAAAGGGACAAGGGAAATGGGAAATTCTACCTCTGGTATTTAGATTAAAGAGGCTTTTGCCACCAATCCAATCCTGATGCAACTCAGTGAATAGCCAGTACTGGTGGCTGTGGGAGAGCACCTCGTTTGGGAATTGTGTGGGATGAAATGCATTGAGGTGGAAGGGTTCAGAGGAGTGGTGGATGAGTTTGGGTGGAGAATCTTGACATGCTCCCAGTTGCATTGAAATGTAGCCAGCTGGTGAACTGACTCCCAGTGGTAACTGTAAGGGCCACAAGTGAAGTTGCTGAAGCTCAGGAACACCTGGGGTGATCTGTGGCAAAAGCTCTGTAATTTTAGATGAACATCTTAGCTTTTTTAGCTGGCATTGGGACCATGACAGGCTTGCACAGGTTGTCACAACCCGTGTGACCCTAAATGCAGCAACTGGCTAACTTTTAATCTGACAGTTAACTGAAATGGTGACCTGAAACTCAGTCCCTTTCTTTCATTTCTCATTTAGTTGAGAATTTAAATGATGTTGGATTTCAAACTCCACCATCACCCCCTGAAATTAACGATGGGTTCCAATCCACCTTTTATGTCTTTACTGCATGTCTAAATCAGCTATTGATATTGGTTATAATTACATGCGCAACATTGCCATGAACACAGCTCAGTAAATCCTGACAGATGCCTGTGAAACTTTCAGTACCAGGGAACCCAGCAGCTGTGTCTGGGGCCCATAGCCTGGAGCTATTCCCGTGCTTCTGCACGCGGTGAACCCAAGGTATGCCATGATGCGAATGCTTACTTTGCATTTTTCATTTAGAAAAAGGAGCATAAGAAACTGGAAAATGAAGGAGATGAAGTCACAATCAATGGGGAGAAGAATTCAGAAAAACTGGAAACAAAACAGGTATTGTGCAGTTGAATCAATGTGGAGCAAGGGGGAGGAAATTTGTTTGTTGCGTTTTGGGAAGAGAGGCGGTGTTGTATTTAAAATCTGTAAATTCTGTGCTAATTTGTCTATCTGCTGAGATCTTTTCTCCCTGCCATGCCTTCTTGTCTACTAAACTCTTGCCGATCTTCAGTGCCTCACCCATCTGATCTTAATTGTGTGATTTCGGGTAGCAACCACAAAGTGTATTAGTCTTCACAGCATAAGTTACTGAATGGTTGTATGATTGCATTCCAGAGTCAACATTTGTGGCACATTCTGGATTAGGTCAAGCAGGGATATGGAGAAGATATTGAAAAGACATGGAAAAGACATGGGGGGGTGCCAGGATGGGTAATTGTGGTTTTGACTATTTGCCTGTGAGGGCCTGTTTCCACATATTGATACTTTCCACTAACTTCTTTTTATAACTCTGTAAAATGTGCATAGAGCAGATTTGTAGAAACCTGCCTCTTGTAAAATCTCTCATGGCATCCTTCACATAACATTGACTGAGACCACTTATAAACTGTCTGCCAAACTTTCACACCCTGTGCCTCTAACTTAATTTTATCTTAAAATTTTAGTTTTTTAAATTTCTCATTCCTTCATTTTATCTGGTTAGAACTTGCAATTTCAATGGTGTGGAATCTGACAACCAGGTCTGTTATGAAATCCCTGCACATGACTGCAGTGGTCCCTCTGTGACCATATATGATAAAAGTTATTCTGTTATTGTGCATGGCTGTCTAACAGCCATGCACACAGTTGTAAAATATTCCTCCATATATTGTGAAAAGTGCAGTTTGTGCTCCTGCATAGATGTATTCTGACAGTCCAATTGTGATCCTTCATGTTCCTGTAGGCAGAATCCGAGTCTGAAGGTGAAGAGGATGAGAAGGATAAAGGGAAGCTGAAGCCCAATGCTGGAAACGGTGCTGATCTGCCAAACTATCGGTGGACCCAGACCCTGTCTGAGGTTGATGTAAGTGTCACTTTCGGAACCCTCTTTATCACGGTTCTCACAGGGCCAGGCTGAGGCAAGAAATGATGCATTAAATATAGTGGCAGTAGAGGCGATCTCTATGCTAAAGTAGAAATTGGGAATCTTCACAGTCAGAATATGAAAATACATGTTAGTGGTGTGTTGGGCACATAATTATAAACTAGGGAAAAAAAAACTTGGAGGTAATCTCTAAAATAATTTTATATTTAGCAAGCTACTTGTATATTAGATGTCTAACATGATTACATTTTGGCACTTGAAAATTAGTGTGACCATTGCCAGCAAAAACAAACAACACAGCAATAAAATGCTAAAGCAACATTCATTATGCAACTATCAAAGCTAGTTGGTGATCAACATATAATAAAGGACAATTAGAGGTGGGAAATAAGTGCTGGCCAAGGTAGCGACACCCACATCCCATGAACAAACTTTCTTTTAAAACAAGTTGTATAAATATGACAATTTGAGCTTATAAAGTACTTTTTTAAAAAGGAAAATACTCATTTATGTTTCAACTAAGCTCTGTATTCCCTGGTATCAGAAGACTCTGTGAAGCCCCTCTCTTCCTGCCACCCTACACAGAAGTCTAATCAGCCTGTCTCCTTCCACCACATACATACATACGGCCAACTTTCTAACACCCCCTACTCACAAATGAACACTTCTTCCCACCCTTCTCCCACTCACTAACCCACTCAACCCTCTTTCCAAACCCCTCGACCAGCAGCCACTCGCCCCGTTTTATCTCCCGCTTTTGCTGTAGTTGCAGTGACTTTGAAGCAGAGCTATTATCCTTGGATAAGTACTTTGTAAAACAGTCCGATAGGAGCAGAAATACCGTACAATGTGATTTAGCGGTTCACCTTCACAGCTAGACAGTGACCTCCCAGTTACTCCTGCATTCAGGCCGTGATTTAGATATGCTTGCCAGCCTCCAATTTGGTGCACACATTAGGACAAACACTCAACAGTAAGTAATTTCCAATGAGATTTGGGTTCACCATTTGTCAACATGAATCCATCGGGTCCAAGGCTGTCCTGCCAGAGCATCCAGATTGGGAAGCCTCTGCTCCAAAATTGCTTTTATGGTATTGGAGAAGGGGCACTTCCTAACTCCAAAGTTATGACCTCTGCAACCCCGTAGAGGGTCATGAGCCACAGTTTGGGAAACCAATGTTAAAATATTCCATACTACAATAAATCCTGTTACCACTGTGGAAGATATGAAATAGGAATGGATGGATTTCAAGTGGGGTGTAGACCTTGGTAACATAGAGTTGGGTGGTTGGATTGAATAACACTCACCATGGCTAAATAGTCATTTTTATTGTTCTTGGTTGTGTCTTGCACCCAGCTCCTGGTCCCATTCCAAGTCAACTTCAGATTGAAGAGTCGGGATTTCATTGTAGAAATCCAAAGGCGCCACTTGAAAGTGGGTCTGAAAGGCCACCCTCCTGTGATCGATGGTGAGATGTTCAATGATGTGAAGGTGGAGGAAAGCTCATGGCTGCTAGAGGATGGAAAAAGCATTAATATACATCTAGAGAAGGTGAGCTGGGATTGACATGGTGGGTAGAATGAAACCCACTCTGGAGATTCCCATGTCCTGGTTCTTAATTTACTCTACAGCTCAGGACTTGGGGAATGTGGTCTGTCCCTGAGAGGGAGAGTACACAGTTGTATAGGATCTCCAGTCTGGGTGAAGTTTACATAGGGCTATGAGCATGAGTTAAACTGGGATTCTTTGTCTGTGCACATGGTTATCCTGGAACTCCCAGTCTCTGGGTGAGAAGTGCACTGGGCTGTGGGTGAGGGTTGTCTTTGGATTCCTAGTTTGAAGGTAATGGTTAAGATTCTCTACCTTTGGATTACGGTTACAAGGGATGAAGGTTATCCTGGAATTCCTAGCCTATTGCAGCTGAGGAGGCTCAACAGCCCACAGGATTTGTAGAGAATTCCAGTTGTGTTCAAGCTGTATTTTTTTGTGAACTGTGTCAGGATATTAGGATTTTTTTTTTTTGTTTCTAATTTCAGATCAATAAGATGGAATGGTGGAACAAAGTAGTAACAACAGACCCAGAGTTAAATACCAAAAAAATTAACCCTGAGAATTCAAAGGTGAGTATTTTTAATTTCCATGCCCTAGTTCTGTCATATGGAGACAGACGTGTCAGTGGGGTAAATGCACTGGCTTATGTTACTTGTCAGGCTTTCTGCAACATCTAAGCTGCCTGTCCCTAGAATTTGCATTTTGACTTTGATTCACTGCAACTGAGAGAAAAAGATCACAATGTGAATAGCTAAATCCACCGTTTAAGATGAATCGCTTGCTAGATTTTAGAGACACAGTCACTGTTTCCTATTGCCCATGAAGTTCATGCATACGAAATGAGATATTTATTTCAAAGACTTGAATTATGGTGCGACTGATTAAGTTATAGTCTGAAAACTATAACAAACTCAAACTCAGAGCATGAACAATCCTATTTAAAACAACAATTTGTCATTCTCAACTCTTCAGAAGCACTTCCCTTGTCCAATTTCATTCCAACCTGTCTGTTGCAGATAATGTATCTTTGCTTCTTCATATTCACCTTAGAATTTTCCTATCATTGGTTTGCTTGCTGTCCTTCAGGTCAGTATTGTCAATGTGCAAGGCTAACTGTCCCTATAGATTTTGACAGTCTGTGTGGTTTTGGGATGTCTGCCAGTCACTCTGCACCAAGCTCCCTTGCCTGTAAACCTCCCATTAGTTGGCATTTAGCTGTGTGTCTCATTAAATACCAATTCTATCTGTGTTTAAATTCCTCCAGACCACTCCATCCTCTCAAGTTCTGTTCCTCTTTAACACCTTCCAACAAACTGTCAACTCACCGTTAGTAGTGTGCTGTTGTGGGTCGGTTAGCTTAGATGGCTGGACAGCTGATTTGTGAAGCAGAGCCAACAGCACAGGTTCAATTTCCATAGCAGCTGAGGACACAATAGAGGTCCCACTTTCTCAACCTTACCCCTCGCCTGAAACGTTGGTGACCCTCAGGTTAAACCACCACTAGTCATTTCTTTCTTTGTGAGAGCAGCCCTATGACATTCTGGAACTATGGCAACTTTATCTTTAGTAGTGTGCCATCAACCACCTGGAATTCTCTTTCCATAAAGTCAGTAACTTCACCCTATTCCTTGACGACAACATCCACTAACCAAAATCCTATATCACATTGGTGTCTTCTCTAGACTCAGTTCACAAACTGCCCTTCTTGCCAGTGCCTCTACTTCTGTTTGTACTATATCTCAATAAATCCTGTTCTCTCATCACCTCTATCCTTGTTGATCTGCAGTTACTTCTTGTCTTCCAATAATTTAAATTTAAATTTTTTGCCCTCATTCTTATGTTAAAATCTTTGCATGTCCTAATTCAGTTTTATGTCAGGGATCTGTCCAGCTTTGTGTCTCCTCCTAAGGCCTCACTGACCACTGATCCTCTGTGACCTGCAGAACATTTCACCTCTTCCTTTATTCCACTATAGAGAACTTTAAACCATCTGACTTCCTTTCTGGAGATTCCAATTTATTACTCTTCAAACAAGCAATGTTGTAATTCAGGTTACTGCATGTGGAATTCTAAAGCATTAAACATTGTCTGATGAATCCTGTCTGATTACATACAGCAATATTTTAATTTTGCTCAGTGTTCATTTACTAATTTGCTATCAGATAATTTGACTTGTTTCCACAGCCTGAGAACTCTTAGCCTTCCAATTTATTTTTTTAAAACCTCATCATTGTAAACCTGTCCTGTTCTGTTGAGTGGAACTGAATGCTGCTGAGTCCAACTTAATGCTAATGAGTACAGACCTGTTGCAAAACTTCTGTTTGTACCCATAGTTGTCAGACTTGGATGGTGAGACACGGAGCATGGTAGAAAAGATGATGTATGATCAACGACAGAAAGCCATGGGACTTCCAACTTCAGAGGAACAGAAGAAACAAGACATACTGAAAAAGTAAGTTCTCTAATGCAGCATTAATGATCTGTCATATTTGTATTGACTGGCATATCTGTCTGTAATGCATTGTAGCCAGATCTTTTACTATTTCTTCCAGCAATTGCTGGATTGTACCTGAGGGAGATGTGAACAATGTTTTGCTGTCACCACATTCATCATTGTCTCTACAGAGTTGTTCTGATAATCTCTCTGTATCTGTGTTTGGGGTTGGGAAAATTCTTTGGCAAAAAGAGACATCATGGGAGAACAGTGACCGGACTCTTCAGGTTGGATGAAGCAAAGGGGATGACCTATGTTTTGTTGGGTAGGGGTTTAACTGGATTAGTAGGGGAGTATCCAAATAGTGGTAGTATGAGAACAAGAACTCATGCCACATGTCTCTCGATGTCCTGTGCTGTTTGCAAGATCAGCACAAGTAATTAAGACAGTTTTCTGATGGGCATGGCATTCACTGTGTTGGTGAACCTTGTCACTTTTATAGTAGTGAATGACCTTGAGAGATTATGGAGTGGTATAAGTAGAGCTAGGGAGGGAAGTGTAGCCCTGGTAGCAGGACTGTTCCAGGAGATGATGTGTTGACTTGAGTATATCATGTTAGATGCGCATTGTTGCTCTAGTGTCACCTGTGTGTATAATTAATGTTATAATTTGGTATTGTGCATGGAATGTGGTAATTGGGTATGGAGGTTGAGTAGACTGCATTAGTGAAACCTGAGCATTCAAGTTAGTTTGTAAGATGAGTTGGATAAAAATGCATGTATTCATGTTGGAGTCATGACATGAGAACACCTGGATTGTGAGGTGTCATATCTCGATTTATCTCCTCCCCGAAAGATCTTTTTGTTTCTTTACTACATCCAGTCCTCGATGCATTCTGATGTTATCCCCCCATGTTAAACTTGCTCTAATGTTGTTTAATAACTTGCACATAATCTTTTTGAATACCTTTTTAAGAATATGGGCATACCTCTCGTTGGTTTACTCGTTATGAGTTGCCAGTCTGACAAAACATTGTTTTCAACTCTTTGTGACCATGCCGCTCGTCTTTTTATTTAAAAGCCTTCTTCAGTCCTCATCCCATATGTTAGTCACACCACTGTTGACAGTGATGTGTTTGGCTGCCTGGTCACTATTTCTGAAATTCCTTCCTTAAAACTCTTTCCCTCTATCAGTTTCATCTCCAGGCATCCTTAAAGCTTTCTTCTGTTTGTTTGATCATCTGTTCTGGCATAAATAAAATTAGACAGCGAGCAACAGAAGATTGAAATCAATGAAATGAAGTGCCTTCGGAGTTGTTACAATGCTGAGGCAATATTGAAATGCAAATGCTTGTTATTGATGAGTTTTTATTGGATTAAATAGTTTCGATAGTTATAGTTCTTGCTGTATTACCGTTGCCACGGACATGGCTCTCACTGGGGATATGTCTATCTGTCCCTTTTTTTTTGTTTTCTCTCTTCTCTCCACTCCAAAAAAAATCCAAAGGTGCTGAAAACTTAAAATATTCCCCCATACTACTGCTCACTGTAAATCAGCAGTCAAAGCAGCACACTCATCTAAGCAAAGATACCATGCTTGGCACTGAATGTAGGTCCTTCACCCTATCTTGAGTTAGAATGCCTGTCTCCCGGCTTACAGAACTCTGATATATAGTTAGGACTGGAGTTGAATGGATGGGAATATACAGCTGCACCGATTTTAGTGGATTTGAGAATTCACTGATGATATCTTCTGTGGATATGACTTCTTCCCAGTCAAGTCGATACTTGTGTTGCATTATGCTATTTTTCAGGTTACTTTGCCTTATTGGTAGTCAGAGATTAATGCATTAATGAGCTATGACGTTATCTTTTGTCTGATAGTGGAGGTGAGACAGGGTGCTTTAACAACGGGATCAATCTACCGATTGACTACTGAATCCTATCTCTGGTCTCAGCTGTCCTGCAGTTCAAACTGTCCTAACACTCTGAAAAATAGCAGAATTTCTCTCCTGGTGTGATATTGAACACATTAGAATCTGCACTTCTGTAGAAGGGAGATTAGAACTGATTATAATTAATATCAAAACAATAACATGACTCAGCAAGTCAGCAGTAGCTGTTGAGTAAAAGATAGTGCCATGGTTTGGATTGTCCATTGGGGCATAAAGCAAAGTAGTAGAACAGCATTCAAAAAGTACAAGTAAGTCATTGGCATCCATGTTCTCAGAATGACAAAGAAAATCCCAACAAACCGGATCAGGACAAATTTATAAATAAAGAACTTCATTCCTGCTTCACGTCCCCAAGGCAGCCAGTGTCATCATGGCTACACCAGGCCTGAGAATTGCTTACAACAGATAAGTAACTTGCTTACAAATCTGCAGGCCCAAGGCTCTAAGCTGTGTGTGGTGTGTATGTCTCTTTTTCTTTCTCTCTTCTTTCCCTACCACCAACCCCCGCCTGCCCCCCATTTTAGATATTTTCTAATCACCCTGTTCACAGTTGTTATTACATACCTGGAGCAAGTGGGACTGGAACCCAGATATTCTGGCCCAGAGATGGAAACACCATGACCAAACCATCAGACCTCCCTACTTTCCATTTGGATTTCATAAATTGATAAACTTCAGACACTGGTGATCACCTTACAGGTTGCAGTATGCACTGCCTCGTGTCATAGTTGCAGACAGTCTTTGTTTTGAGATCTGCTTCGCAAAGTTACTTGGTTTCAAAACGGTGGGAGCTGAAAATCAGGTTTGGTGGTATTAAATGAGCTCGACTTCTGATAGTTCTGTATTAAATATGAATTGTTGGTACTTGAAACATGTAAACCAGATCTAATCTTCCTGTGCCACACTCTCTCTGCAGGTTCATGGAGCAACACCCAGAGATGGACTTCTCAAAGGCCAAATTCAGTTAAAAAATGCATCTTCCCTGGAGCTGCAGGGGCTACCCAAACTTGTGGAAGATTTTCTCCAGGAAGGACTCCCTTTGAGCATCACTTAGAGCCTTGAAACCTGGTTTCTGAGCTTGTAAATCATTCAGGTTATTCATTGTGTGGAGAGCAATTGTGAACCTGGCAGTTGCAGTGCAGTCACTATGCTGGCATCCACTGGCTGCCCATTAATAATGTCATTTTCTGGCTGATCTTAGATAACTACCCAAGTACCTTCTGGTAATGCCAGTTTGCAGGCTTGTTGTAAACTTGATTACTTTTTAAAATTACCTTTGACTGTTGCTGCTGATTGCTGGATGGTAACTGAGGGAGATGTGAAACGTGTTGCTGTCACCTCACACTTGTTGTCTCTCTACATCTGATTGGGGCCCTTGCGTCCTTTTCAGTGAGTTTGAGCAACATCCTGCTAAACACATTGTAAACAGGTGTTACCCAGAACTTGCTCAATGGTTTGTTATTTCTCCCTGTGCTTCACAAAGTTCAAATAGGCATTCAGTTTGGCAGTAGCTCATTCTGATCAACATGTTTTGCAAATGAACATATTAGAAGCTTTCCCTTTCATTGAGACTTTCAGTGAGCACTATGCAAAACCCCACCTGCTAATATTTGAAGCAGGGTGAGCTTGCGTTCAGATATTTCTTGCTGGTTACTTAACATATGCTGTAGCCCAGTCATGTCTATATTGCCACATATGCTTCCAGATGGGCTACCTTGTGTTAAATTTTGAAGTCGTCTGATTGATTGAACTGCCACGCAATGCCAGGTGAAGGCCAAAGTGTTGTAAATATCAGGGTCGTTGCTCTCCATTTCCTTGTCTGTGTTTCCAGGTCAGTAACAGGGTGGCTAGATAAATTGTTGAGTGCAGTGCTAGTCCTCGTGGGTGTGTTTTATGTTTATTTTTAATTTGTTTGCATTGATGCACTTGGACGCGATGCTGGAACTCATTTCTCAATAAAGTCAAGCCACTAGCTGTTGTCTTGCTGTGGTTCATTGTCCTTGTAATAAGCTACATTAACTTTATTTATTCAGTAGCAGTACACTAAGTTAAGGTTTTATAAGTGGCACAGGCACACTACAATAAAGGTCTGACAGTAAAGGTTCTATTTCTAGAGCTAGAAGAAAGTGTCACATTGAAATGCCACCATTTTACTTCTATGACTTGTGAAGGTCTGTCTGGATTTTAGGAGGTTCTTGTTTTGTAGTGGAACCAGGCTACCTAAGAGTTCTCAAACTGGGAATAAAGGAGTTCATGTAAATGGGGTGATTGGGAAGAATGGGTTAAAAAGGGACCAAGGCCCTAATTCTAGCATCTCCCTTCAATCCACTGTGCCCTGTGATCCACAGTCTGCCTTAATACAAGTGCAAACTGTTCTACCTCGCATAATTATCAACACAGAGCTTGAATTTAGATATTGTGGTAACAGTTGTTATGGAGTAAGCATTGGGTGTTTTTTCTTGAGACTGATACAAACTGATAACTTGTGTGAATCCAACACAAGTTTCTGATCCAAACTGCTTTGGTCACCAAGAGCACATATCCTACCTCTGCAATATCCCCTCCCTGTTCCTCACCCACTGCTGAAAGTCCAATTCCTTGTTGCATTAAACTAGACTATTCTAATGCCTGTCCAGTCAGCATCCCATCTTCCACCCTCCATAGTTCTGATCCCATCCAAAGTTCTTGTGCCTTTATCTTAACTTGCACCAGGTCACATTTACTTATTGCCCCTCTGTTCGGTAATTTACACCAGCTCCCAGTTCACTAACCCCCTAATTTTAAGGATTCTCATCCTTGTTTTCAAGTCCCTCTACAACCTTTTGTTCTGTAGCCTCCTTCAATTCTATAACCCTCTATGGCAACTGCTCCAAGTCTGGCTGTGCATCACTAATGTTAATTGTTCTATCATTCATAGCTATGTTTCATTGCCTAGACCTTTAAAGCTTTGACATTTTCCATCAAAATCTCCCTCTCCCTTTTAGAAATATTCTTAAACAAAACCTTAGTCAAAGCAATAAATTTTATCATCTTAATATGCGTGTCTGGTATTGCATGTTGTGAACTACTTTAGGATATTTTACTGTTAAACCTGCTAAATAAATTTTAAGTTGTTGAAATATAAGTGAGCTGTCTATCCTGTTAGTTGTCTCTGACAAACATTGAATATTTCTTGCACCTTTTTTGTGATTAAATCTTAAGCAGAAAAGAATAAACTGTGAATTCAGGTGTTTCAGGATAAGTTTTGGTTAGTGGAGCAGAGTTCAGAAACTCAGCCAAAGCTGCTGGATCCAAGTCCACTGTTCACATACAACGATTGCTGTTCTTTTTACTGTGACCTGTCAGGGCCATAGCTGTGTACACAGTCAGAAACTCATCCTCAGATACTGAACCATTTTACCTTGTTTTTCATCTTAACTAAACTGGGAACCTACCACCACAAGAGAATATTTGAGGTTTATCAGCTGCTACATTCCTTACCTTAACATTGCTGCTCTTCCAGCAATGGCTGTGTGACCTGGATGTTTACTGAAGAGGGGGAGGACAGCAGGTGTTAGCTCAGTCATTTTTTTTTCAGTTGAAGGGCTATGTAGAGTGTAAAGCAGTGGGATTATTTTGAGATTAGTTATAGGGCAATGGGAGAGATTAAAATATACATAGCCCCATATTATTCCCAAACTATGTATGAGGATAGGGTGGTTTACTGCAGTTAGTTTGGAATCGATTATGGAGCTGTAGGAAAAGAGTATGGCTCAGATCAGTTTAAGTTGAACAGGGCTGCCTGGAAGGATTTACAGCAAAGACGTTTACATAGGGTTGACTGTTACAGGTACACACACTGCTGGAGTGAATAGCAGATCTTGAGCAGCAGTTAACAAATCCACCTTTATAGCTCTAAAAAGGGGATATGGAAAAATTAAGAAAATATTGGCTGACACTGCCAAACCTATGAAATGCCGATGCAAGAATCCACTTACCGCTCTCCAATTCCAGTACTATGAACCTGGTTTGCAACTGCATGAAACAGATCACTGGAAGTTAACCATGTTTCTCTGCCATCCAATCTGGAAAGGAAATGGACTGAGAACTAGCTCACTTGTGACACTCCATCCAACTACAGTAATCGCGATTAGAAATTTAAACATGCAGCATAATAGTAATACCCCAGCTCTGGTCACGTAACTGCACAGGTTATGGCTTAATGCTAGAAATCCTGGGTCTGCAACATGTGCCACGTGAAGTGAAACTTAGTCATTAGCGCTCGGGAAAAATCAAGGTTTATTAATAAAACTTTTCCAGAGAAGATCCCATTTATTTGAGAACCTGAAGACATGGACAAGTGAGGGCAACTTAAAAGCAACATCTTAATTGCACTCTTATTTCTAATGGATTGCTGGTGTCTGAGTTCCCAACTAAAGTGGGAAGCTTGAATACGTCCATATAAATGTCAGAATTTCACTCCAATAATGTCTTGTCCAGTGAGTGTTCTTTACTGGAAGCTATTTTTATACTCTCTAGCTCTGTGCCCACTATGGTGACCCATGTCTAACCAGTATTAATAGTTCCAACGTATTACTGTGGCCTTCTGTTAATTTGTCACCCATATACCGTTGAACCTCAAACAGTGGGAGATGAATGAAGTGATTACTTTCTTCAGTAATTATTACACAAATGCTGCTGCTTCTCAGCAAATAATTGTTTGCAATAACCCATTAACAATTGTTGGAAGGAAAAAGCAACCTCTTGCCCAGGAGCAACTCCTGCTTTACACACATTCGCACACTGTGTTCCACCACTACCCAGAATCACTTTACTACTACCAAAATGATGCCTTCTTTCTAACCTCTTACCTTAATTCGAGCCCCTATCTATGTTCACGGGGAAGTGGAGAGGTGACTTCAGCACCTCACTTGCAGGCAGGACACAGCCATAGTCTCCTCTCCTGCTGCTTCAATTATGCTATGTAATCAGCAATCAACAGCTGACAGAATTGTGTGAACTGGGAACAAAATAACTCAAAGAATGAGACAACAAGGTGCAGGGCTGGATGAACACAGCAGGCCAAGCAGCATCACAA